TCTCTGTAAACCGCTTAGAGAGGCCTGAAAGGCCTATGAAGTGGTATATAAGTCTACTGCTATTGCTATTGCTATACATGATCCCTCCATGAATATCTCCCTGATATTCTCAGGGAGCAAACCAAAGATACTGAATTGGCACATCCCTTCAGCACACGGGTAGTAGTGAAGTATCTGTGGATTGAGCTATGGCATTTCTGATATCTAGTTAGTAATCAAGACCTCCTAGTAGAAGGAGAGTTGTCAAAAGATCGATTCCTTCTGTGTCCCACCTGCAAGAGAAGAAAGCACCCTATTATATTTGGGAGACTCTTCAGGCAGCTGGCTCTTACTGCAGGACCAACATTGAACACACAAGTCCAGTTTGGTTGAAAAGGCCATGCTTCAAAGAAGAATACTTTATCAATAATCAGTCTTAATACCATTAGTAGTGTTATTACTATCTTTTGGCAAATACGTGTGCCCATCTCTATATTATCATTTCTCTTAAAATCTGACATATTGGTTTAACTCAGGCTTTCCCCTTTAAATGAGTAGTTTCATCCCAAAATTCTCAGCAAAAACCAGAAGGGGAAGGCTGATTTAGACCATAAAGCAGTAAATTGCTCCTTTCTTGTTAACATAATTTTCTGCCTTTTATAAGTGAAGGTGCACCATAAAAGGACAGTACAGTTTAATCCTAATTGACTGACCAGCTATTTGAAGTTACAGTTGTTTCAAGTTATGGGGACTAAACGAGGAGGAATTAAAAGGGATTCTTGTTGCAACTGTCATAACATCCCCATGGTCATGTGATCACAATTTGACTGCTTGACAATTGGCTTAGAATTATGATAGTTGCAGTGTCCCATGGCCTCCACTTCCAGTGTCTGTCCTCCCCGCAAAAAAGAAAAACAAATCAGTGAACTATTGTTTATGTTCAAATCTCACGGTCTCTTTGATTTGCCAAGGACCTTTTCTATATAACTGGATTGTACCCTTCCTTTACCCAATTAAACCTTAACTGTAATTTAATCTTATGGATCATTTGTACATATTTTGGGCAGGATGGAATAGAAAAAGCTGATATTGGTTTGTATTTTACTTAGATATATAGAAAAATGAAATGCAAGTGATTTCCAAAGGCAGCTTTCCTTTCCTTTGCTTCTATGGTAACGTGTGAAGTTGGATGTGCTGCTAGATCTTTCTGGTAATACAGCAGAGATGAGGAAAGGAGAAATGTCAAGGAGAATGATTTGTGCACTTTGTTTCCACTTTGTTGTAGCACATGGACTGCCGTTTCTCTCTACCTCTCCATCCTCCAATCTTCCAAAGACTACAACTTGGCATTTAGATCAAATATTTAAATTGCAATATTTTTTCTGTTATCTGGCTTTAAAAAAATTACAAGTGAAAATTTAATGAGTTTAAAGTTTCCCTTTCAGGTCACTACTGCAAACTCCTTATTTACCTGATTTTAACATTTGGTAAATTGGGTTTTTTAATCAATTTACTGTTTTATCTTCTTTTCTTTTATGCAAATCACTTGCTATTTATGCTTGTCTGATGTTTCTCAATAAGGGCTGTGGGAACTTCCTAGGGCAGTGATGGCTAACTTTTTTTGTGCCGAGTGCCCAGTGAAGCCCCAAAATGCAGTGTGAGCACCCCCGTGCATGTGCCCCCCCGTGCATGCACGTGTGCCCCCGTGTATTCACGCACATCCCTGGCCCATTTTTGGCTTCCAGGTTGGTGCAGGAGGCTTTCCAGGCCCAAAACGGGGGGTGCCATGCATCGAAATGCAATGCGAGTGACCCCAGCACATGTGTCCCAATTCCTGTGCATGCACAGCATACACCCAAAGATCAGCTGGCCATTGGGAGGTGCACACTCATACACGGTGGAGCTGTGCTGGAGCAACGGCTGGAGTGCCCACAGAGAGGGCTCTGCTTGCCACCTATGGCACGCGTGCCATAGGTTTGCCATCACAGTTCTAGAGACAGACACTGTCTTAACTTTTTAAAAGGTTCATTTTAGAATTCATAATCCCTGAACGAATTCAGTGGATCATTACACTGTTTTATGAAGAACATTGCGTATAAACATTTTGTTATTCAGTTATTACATTATAGCTTGTACCCACTTCAACAGCTTTGAGTCGGTTTGTTTGTTTCTTTAACATATTTGTATCTACTGCAATCAAAAGCTACTCTTGGTGGCTCACATAAAAATGCACTTTAAAAAGAAATCATGTTCCTTCCTCTCTACATTGCCAGAGATTTATTTCAGTCTATTTTCTCCCAACCAGACACTGTCAGCCTCTAGGCCCTGGGAAAGGCGGTCAACAGCATCTCCCCAATAGCCGAAAATGACATTTGTACAATATAATATCATTGTTATAACCCAAACCATTGAAAGTTCCCATTCAACAGCATCATATGGGCCCTCCCATCACAATATTCCTGCACAGTTGCTTGGTCATAGTCAAGTTTTCTATCACTATCAGAGCCAGTCCTAACACAGCGGTCATGATGCTGATTCTGAAGAACCTGATACCTGATATGGCAACATTTCACCATTGCCTCATTCATTATTAAATCATAGATGATGATGGATTTATTGCAAATGGATCTGCGACTCGCTGTCAGCACTTTTAAGGTCAATGGCACCAGCAATCTAGCTACCTGTTCTTTAGGATGAGGTTGGTAAGCCAGAAGCTCAGTCCCAAATTAGAGGTCACTTTTCCATTAGAGTAGCCTACCTAACACCCCCAACATATGTTGCACAAACCCAACCCAACCAATGAAATTATCAACTCCAACCTCTTGGGGACAGTTAATTCCTTCTATCCCAACTGAAAAGATCACCTAGGCTGGTTATTGTACTTCTTCTGTCCAGGTTGCATTGAAAGTCATTTAGAATTGAATGGTGCCATTTCCTTTGACATTCAGGTGTGAAATCTGACAGAAAGAGATGAAGGTACTTTACTTTCTCAAACGTATTTTGAGTCAACAGAATATAATCCTTTAGACCACTCCGTAATGTAATTGAAATATAACAATTGTTTTGATTCCTTTTGTCTTTTAGAGTTTTTGTGCTGCCTTAAATCAAGAACTTAAAGAATACTACAGATTATTGTCTGTTTTACACTCACAGGTAAATAAATCCACACAATTTGACAATTGTGCATCTGTACTTCAGGGATGGGTTCTTACATGCTAAGAGGAATTGAGACGTCAGTTCCCAGCAACTCTTGCCAGTTTGGTTAATGCTCAGCATGCTGAAAGGAGTTGTAGTGCAATGATCTCTAGAGAGCTATAGTCTCTATTATAGATTTATAAATAGTTGTTAAAATGTATTGTCTAAGAATTACAAGAAAAATACTATAATTCTGCTAATTTCCCTCTATCCATTTTCATGCACTTTGTTGTGCAGGGTCAGTTCTGTTAGAATATTATTTCTGAGCTACTAAACAAATAATTCCACTTTATAATATTTCTTGTATGCATATAACATGAAATATGTATAGAATTAAATTAAGAATGTTGCTATTTTTACAGAAACATTAAAAAAAAATAGTATTTATTACATTTTCCAACATTGTTAAGCAACTATTTTATAGCAAATCGTTGTAACATTTGGGGTTTAAAATTTTATTTCTTATTATCTACAATTTCCCGTCTATGTGCTTTTTGATTTATTTAATAAACACAGGCTTCCTTTTAAATATTTTCAGAAATGCCAGTTCTGATGATTCTCTAATGTGTTATTCTAAGCATGTTTTTACATACATACAGGTGAAATTCGAAAAATTAGAATATTGTGCATCTTATTTGGAAACCAAGGACCCAGAGTATGGAGGAAGAATGGAGAGGCCAATCAAGCACAGTAATCCCACGGCCATTGAACCAGGTTTTAGTGCTTTTAGCAAAAGTTGCTCTCATCAGAAAAGAGGACTTTGGTCCACTGAGCAACAGGACTTTCGACCA